GGCAGGTCGCGGTGTCGCCTCCCTGCCGGAGGAAGTCTCTCGGGGCGGGGTGCTTGCGGGGCAGGGCCGTTGCTGTGTCGCTTCTCTGCCGTTCACGCCCGCCGTGCGGTCTCTGCACGGATGTCGCCGTGGGCTACGGAGGAGGCTTCATTGGAACCGTGTGGTTTTTCCCGTCCCCTTTTGTTTGATTTTGACGTGACGCACATGACGTAAAACCCAAGAGAACGTTCAGTGGCGTTCAGCACCTGCGCGGTGTCCTGCACCCCTCCCCTCTGCCTCATTCTGGGACTTTTGGTCACCCAGACGGAATTTTGTCCCACACTCGTTGGCAGCCGCTCCCCAGCAGCCCCCCCCACGGCCTCCGGCTGCGCGTCCGCCTCCAGGGCTGTGCCTGCGTGTGGGGACGTCCGTGTGCGTGGAGTCCCGCAGTGCGTGGCCGGCAGCGTCTGGCCTCTGTCCCGGGCTGGGTGTTCCTGAGGTCCGTGCGCACGGCTCTACGTGGCCGGGCAAGACTTTGTCCCATGTGTGGGCTGGCTGTGCACGAGCATGTGGCGGTTTCCGTGTTTGGCTGTCGTGAGCAGGGCCACTGTGAGCGTCCGTGTGAAAGTTTGCTGGTCACGTGTGCGCCCTCGGGCCCCTTGGCCCGGAGATTGCCCGGGGCCACTGGAGGACCCCGTGGACACGCTGGGACGGCCAGCCCATGGTCGCGTGGCCTCTCGGTGCCCCCTGGTGTGTCTCGTGGTGTCGTCATGGCGCCCTGCCTGTTGCCTGGGAGCGGTGGCTGCCCTCCGTCTTCCTGCCAGAGGGCAGATCCGGAGGCCCGAGGACGGCGGCATGACTCACCGGCGGGGGTGGCAGTGCGCCCCACCGTCTCAAGGTTGGTTCCTCAGCGGCGTTGGTGAGCTCATCCTGGTCCTGCCCGCAGAGACACGTCGCAGAGGTCCCGTGGGGGCCGTGCCGCCGAGGCCCTGCGCGGTGACATTTGGGATGATGCCGCGCGCCGGCGTGCCGTCTGCCGTGAATTGCAGCAATCTGGACAGTTACCTCCCAGGGTGGCTGACGGCTGTGTGTTCCAGCGGGGGAGGGGCGTGGTGGCAGGTGCTGGCAGCAGCGGGGGTGGGGAAGCTAGGAATGTTCCAGAGCCCCCGGCGGCTCAGCCCTCAGAAGCGCAGAGTGGGGGGGGACCCGAGAATCGGCTGTGTCTGAGCCGGGAGGCTGCACTTGTCATTTCAGTGACACGGCACCAGGTCCTGGGCGAGGCAGGGGTGCTGGGGGCCGGGCCAGGTGAGCGGCCAGGTGTCCCGCGGCCCTGGGGCCCCTGAGCCGGCCTGAGGCACCTGGGGAAGCCTTGAAGGACAAGCTGCAGAGGCCCCTGGCCCCCGCGGGGAAGCCAGACCCGAGCCTCTGCGTGTTCTAGCTCTGTGGACTCAGGCAGGTCAGCCAATGTCTCCGTGCCTCAGTTTCTCCATCTGCACGCTGGGAGTTAAAGGAGCACCCACCGCGTTAGTTTCCGTGGCTGCCACGGTACAGGACTGACGACTGACAGCTTCAAACAGCAGAAACCGCTCCCTCCCGTCCCGGAGGTCGGAAGCCCAAGTTCAGGGTGTCAGCCGGGCCGCGCTCCCCGCGGGGCCGAGGGGAGGCTCCTTCCGTCCGCACTCGGCCCTCCCTGAGTGCCCGTCCCAACGTCCCCCTTCTTGTAGCACCCGCCGCAGTCTGCGTGGCCTCGGTTTCCCTGCGGATGCCCGCACACCCCTTGGAGAGCGAGGCCCGGCCCAGGCACTGGCGGACGAGGGGCCCCGGGGCTGCCGCCATCGCCCAGGACCTGGCCCGGCCCGGCCCTGTCTCACCCTCAGAGCCCCGGTCCCTACAGCAGGGGGGGGGTGCCACCTCCCAGCGCCTCCTTAAGGATGGAGCAAGTCAAGGGTGCACCGTTCTTGGTATGCAGCAGGCGCTCAGAAGCGGCAGGCCTGCAGCTCAGGGCACAGACTGGAGCCTTTCTTCCTGGGGTCCGTCCCGGCCCTGCCTCTCCTGGGGCCTCGGCCCCCCGTGCCTGGGGCTGAGGGTCGCGGCTGGGTGGCCCACCGGGCGCAGTACGATGGCAGCCGGGGGTTCCGCGGTGCTGAGGGCTGCCCGGAGGAGGGGCCGTCGGGCTGAAGCCAAAGCCCGAAACGACGATGAGTCACAGCAGCCGATGCCGCGGGCCCTTCCCGGGTGCTGGGAACGGCTGGGTGCCTCACATGCGTGAAGTCACCTCCTCTTTGCCAACCATATGAGGCAGGTGCCATCACTAGCTTCTTTATACGAGTGAGGAAACCAAGGCTCAGAGAGGTTTAGCGAACTTCCCTGGGACACACAGCTGTGAAGTGGAGGAGCTGGGATTTGGACCCAGGCACTCTTGTGGCCGAGTAGGGATAGGGCCGGTGTGAGGACTGAGTGGGTCGGTCCAGCAGCCTGGCTACTGCTGACCCACCAGTGAGGGAGGGAAAGGCATCCAGCAGAGGGAACAGCATGTGCAAAGGCCCTGTGGCAGGGACGTGTGGTCTCGTGAGAAGCTGTTGAAACCCAAGACGGATGGGGAGAGGTGGGGGTGGAGGGGCCTGGCCAGCTGGGGGACAGCTTGGCTGCTGTTCTGAGAGCGTGGGGGGGCTGGGGGAGGGGCGTAGTTACAATGGCCACAGGGTCCCAGGCGGGCAGGAGACCGCCTCGCCCTCTCGCGTGCATGGGGTCACGCTTGCTGGCCTGGCTCTTGCAGCTGTGGGCTGGGCCCGTGTGGTGGGTCCTCTAGAACCGGGCGCTGCTGCCAGCCCTGGCCTCCGTGCCACGTGGGGGAGGCCCGGGCTGGACGGGCACTGCGGCTCCCTGGACGGTCAGCCCGGCCTGGCGGGGTCTCCACCAGCTGTGAGACGGCGCGGCCCCGCCCCTCCTCGGCCGGCCCCTTCGCTGGTGGCAGACCCCTGTGGTGAGGGGCCGCCCACGCCATTGTCACACTGGCCCGGCTGGGATAGGCCTGGCCAGCTCCTGGCCGCCGGCCTGCCTGGGAGGGCAGAGGGCAGAGGGCAGAGGTGAGCGGCCCCACGGGGAGGCGCTGCGGGGTCGGGCCTGTGCCCCGTGACCCCGAAAGTCTCCCCTGGACCTCCGGGCCTGCTGTGCCCGGCAGTGCGCTTGCCCGGCCGGTGGAGCTGCGCGGCGGGTGTGGGCTGTAGTGGCGCGGAGTCGGTAGCAGGGACCGCAGGAGAGAGGGCTCCCCCAGCCCCCGTGGTTGCCAGAGTCTGGTGCCGCGCCCAGCGTGGGACCACGCAAGCGGTGCCCACCACGCGTGTGGCCTGCAGGTGACGTGGTCTGCGGACTCGTGCGCGGGGGCAGTGGGAGGTGTTAGCATACGGCGTGGGGGCTGACACGAGGGTGCGGCGCGCCAGCAGGCCTGTGGGAGGGTGGGGCGTGACGAGGAGCGTCACACGGAGGCTGAGCTTGGGCACGGTGCGGCCCCAGGTCGGGCATGAGCGGGACCGGTTTCCTGGGGGGTTTGCAGGAGATGGCTGACAGGACACCCTCCAGGGCCTGCCGGCCTCCGGCCAGACGTCAGGGTCAGGGTCACCATCTGGGGCGCGCGAGCATGGCAGGATCCTGTGACCATGGGGACCGGGCGTTCCCGCTCCTCACTCCCGGGAGAGTCCGTGCTGGGGAGGCCGGCCTGT